AGAGCGGATACCCTCTTTGAACTGCAAAGGAGAAAGGACCCCAGGACCAGGCTGTGTCTGTTTTCTCTGACCATTGTACTGTCCTCTCTAATCCTGTCCAACCACAGCTCAGAGACCCGGTCTTCAGTGTTCAATGTCCTGGGCCAATACTGCCAAAGCCTCTAGTAATATTCACGTGATTTGTGCCCCTCATAGGCCAGGGTCACTTTAGGGTATGGAGAACCTGGGACACAGGTGCTGAGAGTGTGGGGCTGGTAACAGTCTCCCATTCTGAAGCCAACCTTAGAAGTGTGTCCTCCAATAAGCCAGGGTGGGGTGGGAGGGAGAGGGAAGGCTGGTAGGAATTGGGGGGGGAGGGGTCAGCCCCTCCCCAGGGTCACATCTGAGGATCTTATGTGGGGCCCTGAGAATGGCAGAGATTGCCTCCCAGGTCAGCCCCAGCCTCTCGGGGAATTGGTGGCAACGTCTATTTCAGAGTTTATGGTAAGAGGCTGGAGCAGGCATACACTGACAACACACCCCACCCTTTAAGGAAGTGGGGAGGAGAGCAGCAGGGGTGTGGTTAACAACTAGGAGGAGGAGGGGGGGAACACAAACCTGTCAGCTCTCTTACTCAGCCGCAGCCGCCAGAGCAACCACGCACCTCACCTGCCAAAGCCCCCGACTCACCTGGCCAAGCCTAGGAGCAGTCGCTGGAGCCCGCGTCTCCCTCGGTGTGAGTGCCCTCCCGCGATTCACGGCTGAGCGTCGGGGTGAGAAGTTGGAGGCTTGACTAGGTGGTAAGGGTGTGTGTTTGTGTTGGGGTGATAATTCCGGGATTCTGAGTTCCTGGATGGGACTGGGACTTCCTAGAATAGGTGCCACGGGACCCAGAAAGTCCGAGCTGCGGGTGCTGTGCGCGCAGAGCTTGCTTGCTAGTCTTGGGCAGGGGAAGAGGGGTCCTATTTTTAGAGTTAATTTGAGACTAAAGATTGTTTCTTCCTCTTCATCCTCTTAACATATTCGTACAGGGGAGGCTGGGGGCCACGCTCTGAAGGCACCCATAGGCTGCCTGCCTCTAAAGGTCAGATTAGGCTTCCACACGCCGGGCTTTCAGAGTTGGACTTCAGCCGCTGCCTGAGACTTCTGCCTGAGTCCCACTTGCTCCCTTCTCTGCCCTTCAGCCCCTCCTGGGGTCACGTCCCCACCCACACCCACCCCCACTCCTCAGCATTTATTTTTTGTCACCTGAGAGGGCATCTTTGAATCAAGCCTTGATGGTAAACAAATAGGGTTCTGAAGAGGGACAGAAGACTAACTCTGGTGTGTGTGTGTGTGTGTGTGTGTGTGTGTGTGTGTGTACTGTGTGGGGACTAAAGTTAACATTCACCCCACTGGCTCTTTTGGCAGCTGCCTTTTGAATGCTTGTGCTCAAGGGTTAAGTTTTGGGCTGCCTCCCCCTGCTGTCAGGCTGTGCGTGGGCAAAGCTTTGGGGGTGCAGTGGTGTAGCATATGGGTGATGTTCTAAGCCCCCCTCCCAGGCCTGCCACCTGCCCTAGCCTCAGCCATCTGACATTGGCATCCCCCCAAAACCAATTGGGATCATTCCCCCAAACCCAGGTGGGAGAATTACAAGCAGGAGGTTGGGCCTGAAGGTGGCATTTGCCAAGAGAATTTGAAAGCCAGAGGTGGGGAGCTTCAGGCTGTCTGTAGCCAGACCTGAGCCAGCTGGAGCAGTGGGCATGGCACCACTGGGACAGGGGCAGAAGTCTACTCTCTGCTCACCTGAAAGGATGTTGCTCACCTCAGCCCCTGCCTTTCATAGCTGCTCTGGGGGGAGGGAAGAGAAAGACACAGTGGCAAAAAAGTAACTAAAGATAGAAGGGAGGAGGGAAGTTGTCATTTAGAGACCCGGCCTTGGTGAGACAGTGTGCATTCATTCATTCATTCATTCAATAAGCACTTACTGGTCTCCTAGCGAGGCCGGGCACTGCTGCTAGGTGTGGGGAGACAACGTGAATATGGCATGGCCTCTGATGGCCTGGGCAGCATGGAGAGGGATGAGGGCTGCTGTGGAAAGGTACAGAGTGTCCATCAGTCTGGTGCTGGAGGATTGTGAGAGGACACTGATCAGGGATGGCTTCCTGGCAGCAGTGACTCTTGTTGAGAACTGAAGGATCAATAGGAATTAGCCAGGCTAGGGAGAAAGGGAAAAGAGGGGCCAGTGGGTGGCATGGTTGTTAAAGTGTCTGGGTCCCACATGGCCAACTGCTTGTTTCAAGTCCCAGATCTGGCTGCTTAAAAAGCACCCCAGGCACACGTGCATGCATGCCAGAAATCCCTAGAGGAGAATGGAGGAGAAGGGATTGCAAAGTGGCCATCCCTCCTGGGAGGTGCTCTCACTCTCCTGCTAGCACAGTTACCCATAGCAAAACTAAAAACAAAAATTTAGAAGAGAGAACAACAGTCAAAATCCTAGCAAGTGCAAAGACCAGAGACTAAAAGCAGCAAGAGGCTAGAGGCAGCGTGAGTCATCCCGGAAACTGAAAGTAGCTCTGCTTGTTCAGAGCCTAGAGAGTGTAGGGCAAGGGGAAGCTGCAGAGGTAGGTAAGTGGAGACAGCTCCAGAAAGGCCTTGGAAGGCCTCACAGGCTGCCATGGCAACTCCTTTTGGAGCAACACTTGGGACCTGAAGCCCGGCATGAGACTTCCCACCATGCTTCTGAATCAAGGATAGGATTGCCAGATTTGGAGAATAAAAACATGGGACACTCAGATTTGAATTTCAGATAAGCACTGAATAATTTTTCAAAAGAATTGTTAATTTATTATTATTATTTTTATTATTATTAATTTACTATAGGGCATGCACATGCACCAGAGAGAGAAAGGGAAAGTGAGAAAGCAAGCTGCTAGGTCCAGGTCTCAAACCACTGTCAACCATGTGAGAGTCCAGTGCCTTAACCATCAACCTAAGTATTAGGTTGTGGGGAAAGTCATGATGTGTTTTTCTGTGCAAGAATGCATCATGACTTTTCCAACAACCCAATATATCCCATGCAACATTTGAGACATCCTCAGAGTTTCACTGTTTATCTGAAATTCAAAGCGAGCTGGCTGTCCTGTACTTATCTGGCAACCCAACTCGGGGAGGAAGCTGAGCATGGAGATGTGCTGGGGGCAGGGAAGGCTGAGAGCTGCTCAGTGCCCTGACAATAGTCTCAGGACATACTTATCTTGTCACTAACCCTCCTGAGTTCCCTTTTTTGGCTTCTTTATTGATTGACCATGTAATTACGTACATACATACAGATAGAGAGATATAGATACAGATCTCAATGATTTGGTCAGCTTATTTGTCTATGCAAATGGAGGAGAATGTGGAACTTCAGAAAGAAATTAGGCTTTAGAGCCTGAGGACCTGGGTTCAAATCCATATAAACCAGGTAGCTTGTTTGAGTCTCAGAATGCTTTTCTCTTTTTAAAGAATTATTTATTTTATTTTAGTTATTATTATCATTATTATTATTTAATTTGACCAGAGAGAGAGCGAGAAAGGGAAAGTGAGAAAGCAGGCCGCCAGGTCTGAGTCTCAAACCGCAGTCAACCATGTAGGAGTCCAGTGTCCTTAGCTACCATGCCACCTGCTGGCCCCCAGAATGCTTTTCTCCAGAATAAGGATAAGAGTACCTGTTTGTTTAGGTTGTTGGAAGGGTCCATGATAATGTGTGTACCTTGCCTAGTGAGTGCTATAGAAAAAGAAAGAGAAAAAAAGTGGGACCCATTAATTAATGTTTGTAATACCTTCACAGGGAGTGGCCAGAACAGCAATTATAAAGTGGCTAATTTTTTTCCATTTGTATTTATGGAACACTAAGAGGTCTCAGAGGAAATAAGTAGTAGGATTTCTGCTTCTAACAAAGAGAAGGGTGAGCCCCTGGGTGGGGGAGGAAAGCCTAACTAGATTTTTCAGCTTTTTCATTCTCTTCCCATATGACCTGCTGCAAGGGGAGGAGAAATCCAACTCTTCTTGGAAGGTGGCAAGTAGGTGGGAAGGGGAGAGGCTCAAAGTCGAATAAACTGATGGGATACCTGAATGAATGAGGAGAGAGAATCCACGTAAAACCCCAGCTCAGAGTCCGACATAGACGCATGTGCCATAACATTTAGCTGTCATGATGCCCACTTTTATAATGAGTTCTTTACTAGAAAAAAGAGAGCTCAAGGATAGATGTAGTAAGGTTGCCCTGAGAACCACCTCTTGACTTTAATGGGAGCATTTGTAGGAACAAATTAGGGGCCTCTTGAAAGGAAACATGGAGGCAGTCAAGAATTTGTTAAGAGAAAGAGGAAATGGAAAGTGTGTTTCCCTCGTGGGAACTGCTGGGTTAAATATGGTCCATCTTTCCAGTGGCTAAATCTCCTCAGCCCTCTGCTCAGTGATAGGGATTTCGTCCTTAGCCCTTTAAAGTAGCATTTGCTAAGTGACAGAGAAATCATTTGCTGTGAGGTAGTTAGAGGTGTTCCACTGAGAAGAGCTTACACTTGGACATGTGTCATGCATGGTCAAGGTTATAATAAGTCCTGCAGAAAAGACACATTTGTGGCTGGGCTTAACTCAGTGTTTCTTAAATTTGCCTATAGAATCTTTGCAGGTTCTTGGGACCAGCAGGTGGCATGGTGGTTAAGATGTTGGACACTCCCACATGGCCAACCACGGTTTGAGTCCTGGACCTGGTGGCTTCCTTTGTCTCTTTCTCTCTCTCTCTCTCTCTGTGTGTGTGTGTGTGTGTGTGTGTGTATGTGTTCTCTCTCTCTCTCTCTCTGGTCATATTAAAATAAATGAATGAATAAATAAAATTAAATAAATAATAATAATAAAAAGAATCTTTGCAGGTTCTTAAGGAAACTAGTGTTCCATATCTAGAGAATGTCAATGTGGGTGCAGTTTTGGGGACCAAGTGGATCCTTCAGAAGACATTGTTCCTTCTGTAACTCTAGCCAGGATGGACCTAATTCATCCTAGATGCAGCAGTATCCAACTTTGAGAAGATCTTCAAAGCATGAGCTCTTATATGCTGCTTTCCTGGAAATCACACATTCTTCATAGACACGAACTCCTACCTACATCAGCCTAACCCTTCCCCCTGCAGCTTAGGATCATGTTTTGTTGAAAAAAAAAAAAAAAAAAAAAGGTCTAAGTCTCTTAGCACTTATCTCTCCATGATAATGGTAGTAGCTCCACATGTCCTGAATGCGGGTAGGACAAATGAAATGGATGATGAGAATAGGGAAAGGGAGGGTGGCTACCCGGGGTGGACACTGCATAATCGGTATCCCAGTCCCTTCTTTTCTTTCTGCCCAAGAGTCATGTGTCTGGGGACCACATGGTCCTGGCCCTCCAGGTGAATGGGGTTCTGAGATGGTCACATAGGGATGGACGTGATTGGGGCTGAAAGTGTGGTCATAAAGAGAAGTTTGATTGTTTTGATGATAGATTTGGGTCAATTCCATGGGAAAGGAAGAATAGCAGAGATGATGACAGTCTCTACAACACTAATAGGCTGTTTTGACCCAAGCAGTCAAGTGGTCAAGAGTCTTGTCTCAAAATTAATCTGTCTGCATTTCAACAAACTCTAGCTTTGGAACTCCCTGAGTGACCTTAGGCAGGTCATTTAGCACTTGCTTCCTCTTTTGTAAAATGATAACAGGGTTTTGGGTATGGATGGAGTGAGATAGTGTAACAGGACTTTTTTGTGTGGATGGAGTGAGATAGTATGTGCTGGAGTAATATTCAAAAT